ATGCCTGCATTATAGATGTAGGTCAAAAGAAAACACTCCTTATAAAAAGGCTCAGCACAGTGTTTGATTCTATCAACTATTATCTCTATTCTGCAATTGTCTTCACTATTATTGCTATTATTAATCTAAATGACAATCAGATTGATGGTACCTAGGCAGGTTTACCAAAACATTTTTCAGAAGCTTGCAAAATAGATAAATAAATAAGCACAAACAAACAAAAACAGACCACCAAAAAATAAAACAAACAAACAATTAAATGGTGCCTCTGAAATGCCTAAAATAGGAACAAGACACTTTTATTGAGCGATCAGGAGAAACAGCCAAAAAAACATCAAAAGATTGGTACAATTCAGTATAAGCATTGAAAAAACACACAGCACAGTCTGTTTTCTACAATACAGACCCCCTGACTCTTCAAGTTCATTAACAGCCCTGAGTTTGGGTCATCTTCCCACGCTGCTCAGTACGTGCCCTGAGAAATAGCACAACAGATGTAACAAGCCTGGCAAACACACCAAGGAACAGGCTCACACACCCTTTCTAGCATGGCTCTCAGCAGTACGCACAGCAAAGACACACCAGGACAAGGCAAAGGTGTGTGGGCAGCATTTTCAGGGTGATGGTGTGAATGGAGTCAAAACTGATCATCGCTGGAAGGAAAGAAAAAGCTACAGGCTTTTCCTACAGGCTTTTCCCACAGACTTTAGTGCAACATGAACACCACATAATTTCCAAGCAGGTGAATTTTTTACTAAATTCCACTCCACAGCACTGCTAACTCCATCTTACAAACAAAAAGTGAATTTGAAGATTCATAAAAATAGCAACACTGATCTGTAATGAAATCTAAAAAGTCCAGGTAAACAATATTTTAAAGTAATAAAGCAAATGTATGCCTGAGGAAAAAAAGCTACAATTCCATTGCTATTTTTCCTAATCTTTGACATGAGCATGCCTACTACATCAAGACAGACATCGCAGTCAGAAAAACCATGTATCACAGAAATGGTTTTTTATAAGGAAATGTGCTAACTGGAAATTCTCATTTCAAAGCATGGTTTTGAAAGCTATACAAATACAAGAATTAAAAACATTAACACCAAAGCAAGTTCAGGACCAGATTCAGACGAATGCATATCCTCTATCTCCACAAGATCTAGCACAGTGTTTTCTTTCTAAAAACACTTGCCAGTGCTCAGTGAGGATGTTAAAGCCACTCTCAACACCAATATGACTGCTAGGCCAGTCTGGGGTAAAATCTCACCCTGTTAGACACAACAAAGACAAAGCAACCATAACTATCAGCCTGATTTGTTTTACTCATTCCTCAGAGGCTCCCGGCTTTAACTACCTTAATTTCCCTTCCTTCCCTTCATTTTATCATATTTACACATTTAGTTAACATTTTCAACTTATAAGGTAACTTTCACATGTTATCTCATTTTATTTTTGAGTGAAATATTATTTTAACTTAAAAGTTACAAACTGAAACCTAAAATATTAAATGACCAGATGAATATTTTCAGAATAAGAGGATAAAAGAGATATTCATAGTAATATTTCTCAATCCACACTGTGATTTCTCAATGAGCATGAGATTTGCTATTGACTATTTTCCTTTCAGTCTCTTTTCTTCTTTCTTCAGTGTTATACTGCATTATACTTGTTTTCAATGACTAACATTATGTCTCACTTATTTTGTTATCCTTCCTTCCTTTCTTCCTTATTTGGTCCCCCAGCCCCTTTACTGCTAATTCTCATTCATCCTCTGCAAATAACCTGGGTTGTCCTCCACCAGGAGCCCCCTTGGAGCACAGCTCCCCCTGCAGGAAGCCCTTGTGCACTAACAGGCTCTTCCTGCTTCTTTAGCACAGGATTTAAAAAATCTGTATCTCCTAGAAAACAGGGATTGTATCTGGTTTATTCCGTATCATGATGCCTGCAACCCAGTGGAAAACCAGTTTCTAAATTTCACAAACATCAAATCATTTGATTACAGAAATGTGTAGAAAGACACGAATAAGGTGGGCCCCAAAATATCCCTCTGTAGTGACAAGGGAAACCCTCAGATGAACCTGAATCTTTCTGCAAATCTACTAGCAAGAGAACACTACATCCTGAAAATACTATAACCTCGTCTATCCTACCCTGCCTCTAAAACAGTCTGAACAACACAATCCATCTCCCTGTATTTCAGTGTTAAGTAGATTACTGTTAAAAATATCACAATTCCTTTCCTTTATCATAAAGTAAGAGAGCCTGGTTATAACAGGATTTTTACATCACCAATCTCTGTCTGAAACCTGTTCACTATTACATTACACCATTCTAATATGAAATATTTCAAATCTGGAGACAGGAATAGAAAATAGCAACCATCCATGCCCCCATTATTACATTTTATCAAATCATAATATTTTTTCATATTTAACTTCATACCTTTTTGGAAAAAAATCAAACATTATGAACATTCTGGAAGTCTGTTCTCTATACCCTCCCTAATACCCTTCCCCACCTTCTAGAAAAGATAGCATTCTAAAGTTGGTAATATCCTTTTTTAAACGTATGCATATAAAGAATATATAGGATTATTTAGTGGTTTCTTAAATATTGCATGAACTGTGCATTTGACATTATGGCAGTCAGCTATTCTAAATACATATTTGAGTTCATGTGCAAATAGGGGAAATCTAGAGATGAATAAAGAGCAGTTAGTATTAATGTCCAGGCTAGGAACGGTGACTGTGACTCCCACAGAAAGCCAGAACTTAGTATTAGACCCTATTTTTTCACTATCTCAATACTTACAAATATTAGATTTTGCAGGGGTAGGAGTTCTGGGACTTAAACTAAGGGAATCACTTGAGTTATGCCTCTAGCCCTTTTGGCTTTTAGTTATTTTTTCAGATGGAGGTCTTTTGCTCAGGGACAGCCTTGGGCTGTGATCGTCCTCCCCATGCCTCCCACGTAACAAGGGACAGGCACTACCACACCCAGATTATTTTTAAGATCAGATCTGGCTTTTTGCCTGGGCTGGCCTAGAGCCACAATCCTCTTGAGTAGCTGGGATTACAGGCAAGCACCACAAATGTTAGACTTTACAATTACTTCCCCTGTGAAGAATGACAAAAAATATTCCAGGTGGTTTCATTGGCTCTTCCCTGTTTCAAAGGGTAAGCATCATTTCATAAATTCATTGGTTATTCCAGACATATCAAATATTAGCATGATGAGCCATTTATCTCTTAGGTTGCTTTTTGCTTGCTTATTTGGAAGAGTTATTTTATATATACTGAATGCTCATTTAATAGAATACTACATTCCTTTTAAATTGAAATGACTGGCCATCTTAAATGTTGCTAAAGCAAGTAGAATCTTCATATATTACTGGTAGGAATGTAAAATGGTATACCCACTTCAGAAAACAATTCAGTATACTTAATTTTCTTGGAAAATTAGCACCTAACATGTGATCTGTTCATTCTAATGACATTCTAAGAGGAGTAAAATCATACATAAAAAGATTCATATATGAATATTCACAAAAGCTTTACTAGTAATAAGCCCCAAACTTAAAACAAACAAATTGTCTACCAATGGGTTAATGGATTGCCTGTGGATTAGAATACTGCTAAGCAATTACAAGGACTGGACTACTGACACACATCACAGAATGGATGACTCCCACAATTATACTCAGTGAACCCACAGACAAAAGAGTGCAAACATATGAGTCCACTCATATAGACTTAGAAAATGCAAACTAACTAATAGTGACAAAAGCATACCACTGGTTGCCTCAGTAAGATGTAGGAAAGGCAGGAAGAAACCTTTAGGGGTAAGGTATATGTTTATTATCTCAATCTTGCTGGTGATTTCAAAGATGCGCTTAAAACACCAAAACTTAAAGACTATGCAGATATGTTCAGATTACTGAATATCATTATATAAATTGCAAACTTTAAAAACTATTTTAAAGTCTATTTTATGCCAATTACACCTCAGTAATACTGAGTTTTTAAAATCTTTTAAGAAAAAAAAGAAAAAGGAGAGCCAAAACCATGCTGGGTTTCCATCTTCAAGCATTTTCTTTTTCTTTTTTGGGCAGTGCTGAGGTGTTGAACCCACAGCCCCACATACAACAGGCAGACGCTCTACCACAAAACTACACCCCATTCTCTGAGGCATTTCTTAAATGCAGGTTACAATGCAGGAAAAACCCTAACCTTTGCTTCACATCGTTCTAAAAACAAAACTATCATCTCAAGTTAACTTACAGATAGTTGGGGTAAAAGTGGGTAAAACCAATGAAAAACTTTCTTAGAAAAATAATTGAAGGCAAGTAACTAAAATGAGACCATAACTATTGTTCCTATACAGGAAACTCACCGCTAATATTTTTGTTGTTGATGGAAGTAATCCATCCATGTGTAAATAAATAAAATTTTCCACTGGACCTATTCACATGATTAAGAAACCTGCCCATCCATAAGGAAAGGGGGAATGAGGATGAGTATTTTTTCATATATGAAAAAAAGAATGAAACCTGTTAAAATTGTTGTAAAAAGGCGGTGGGGTGAAAAGGAAAATGATGGAGGGGATAAATCTAACTAGGATATATTGTAAGCACATATGTAAATATCACAATGTACCCCCCTGTACAAATGTTTTATGGTAATAATTTTTTTAAAAAACAACAAAAAAAGAAATTTGCCCCATCAATCAAGTCTGACCTGATAATAAAGTAACCCAATCACACTAATCACTCATCACTCTTACGCAAGGATTTAATCATTTTTATTTCTCTAGCTAATTCTACTTTCATGTTCCTAGTCCTCAACTAAAATAAACCGAAAACAAAAAGTCCATAGGTTTCATCCCACAAAGAACTAAACCACTAAACCATATCTTATACCAAAAATTATCAGGATATAACCAACCTCAATAATTAAGAATATGCTAACTGTTAGCAAAGACAAAGATATCTGAGTACCTACCATCTCCAAAAAGATGTGTCACAAGCCTGGTAAGTGTCTGCTTAAGGTCAAACTCCATGAGCTTTGTGGCCTCCATGGTATGTGTCTCTTGTTTATGGCCAGAACGAGAGCTTTGTTCAAAGAGCTGCAGGCTTTCTCCATCCTGTATACCAGCAAATAACTATAAACCAAAAGGAATAAAATAAATACATAAAACAGAATTCTAGTCAGTCTATACCAAACAACATTAAAACAAATTTTCTTCTGAGTTATAATGTGGAAAGAAGAATTATATCTTATAGTTAACAAACATACTGAAATTACGTGCATGTTGAACCACCTTTGAGGAAAGCTCTGATATGGAAGGCCTCTAGGGAATTAAGACACTTTGTTGATCTCTCTGTTTTAATTTGCATGAACCTGTAGTCATTTCCTAATCAGAGACATTATTCTCAACTCTACTGGAAATATAAGTGAGTCAGATGTTCAGAATGTAAAATAATATCTCGAAACCATCCCACAGGATCTTTATAGTATTACCTGAGACTAGGTGACTAAGTATAGTCTAGGAATTAAATTCTAATAAAGTCCAGGACAATAGGAAAGGTGTTAGAATTAAACACTCTACCTCCAAGGCTTAGCACAGGGGCTGACACATATTTCTGATATTTACTATCTATGTAAACTCAGGCAAATGATAAAGTAGCTAAGCCTAAAGTAACAATTTATAAAATAGAATAATACAAAATTAAGAGATTTTATGACAAAAAATAATGCATGAAAATACAAAGTAGTTGGCACAGTGCAATGATTAAATAAAATTTTCTTTTTTTGTGCTACTGGGCTTTGAACTCAGAGGCTTAACACATGTAAGGCAGGTGGTCTGTCAGTTGATCCATGCCTCCAGACCTATTTGCTTTAATTTTAGGGTAGAGTCTCACATTTTTGCCTGGTATGGCCTGAACTACAGTCCTCCTATTTATGTCTCCCACATCACTAGAATGACAAGAGCCCCCACCATGACCAAGGTGCTAGTTGAGATAAAGTCTCTCTAATTATTTGCCTGGTCTGGCCTCAACCTGTGATTCTCCCAATCTCTGCCTCTGGAGTAGGAATTATAGGCATGAGCCACAGCACCAGGCAAATTTCATCATCTTTATTTAGTCATAAGGCACTTTGCCAATAAAATGAAGCATTCCCATCTTTGGCAACACAGCAGATAATGAGCAAATGACTCTATCATTCTTTTCACCTGAGTCCCACAAAATAAAAAAATATTTTATTTAATGAATGAATCAAACTATCATTATTTCTAGTAATGTTGAGTTGGATTAGAACAAACTCCTGATAAGAACTACTAAAAAGCAGAAAAACTGTAAATGCATCAAAAAAACAACAAAACCAGAAGAAATTACTAAACCAAAGTCTACAATAAAGGATCAAGCCAGAAAAAAAAATGTCCAACACAAAGCCACTGACAGTCTCTGCTTTCCCAACACATCAAGTGAAAATGAGAACATGGATTGTGACAATTTACCACAGCCAGTGAGACAAAAATGAAAGCCCAGAATCTGACCAAGATGGAGTATCTGATACACAGTGCTGAAGGACCCATCCTCGTGACAAGGATGAACACAAACATAAACCAGTCTTGTGGTCAGGTGTCACAATTCCTAGGCAAAAAGAACACCACTGGGCTCTGAAAGTGGACTAAGGCAATCACAGACTGAAAGTGCCTCTAAATGCCCAACAAAATCAACCACGGCTTTTCAGAAAAAACACCCTGCAGTCCTAAGTAATTCAAACCTCAAGTGATTCTTACAAGGGCTGGAAACAATGACAGCTGCAAGGTCCTAGTGCTTCTTGTAAAAATAATTTATGGCAAAAAGAACAAATTTTTTAAAAACTATTAAATACAATGCCCTAAGCTTAACTTGAAAGCAGAATGACCAAACATCAAAATAACTGTATAAAAAGACAGAAAAACAGGCAAAGTTCCAAGGATAAGGAGAGATATGACATTCTAATACACTATAAACCTTTGAGGTGAGCAAGGAAAAGATGAGAAAAAATGAAGGAAAGAGAACAGGAAAATGAGCGAGGTAGGTTCTAAGTTTGATCTAAAATTCCTACCAATAAGTAGTCTTTGCTAGCTATTCATCTGATAAGGGACTAATATTCAGAATCTACAGTGAATTCAAAAAACTCAACCCCCAAAGAATCAACACCCTAATGAAGAAATGCACATATGGATTAAACAGAGAACTTTTCAAAGGAAGTGGTAAAAATGGCCAGTAAATACATGAAGCATTCAACTTCCCTGGATAAAAAGAAGTACAAATCAAAACTACACAATATTTCATCTCACCGTAGTTACAATGACCATATTCAAGGACAATAACAACAAATGCTGGCGAGGATGCAGTGAAACAGGAAATCGTATACACTGTTGGTGGTAATACAAATTAGTACAACCGTTACGGAAAGCAGTATGGAGATTTCTCAAAAAGCTAAAGCTAGAACTGCCGTATAATCCAGTGATACTGCTCCTGAGCATCTACCCAAAGGAACGTAAGTCAAGATATAATAGAGACACCTGTATATCTATGTTTACTGCAGCACTATTCACAATAGCCAAGCTATAGAAACAAACCAGATGTCCTACAACTGATGAATGGATAAAGAAAATGTGATAATGACGGGGTGTGTGTGTGTGTGTGTGTGTGTGTGTACACACATACATAGAATGGAGTTTTACTCAGCTATAGGAATAATGGCACATGGTTGGAAAGTATAAGGACACAATTGGGGGCCATCATGTTAATTGAAGTAAGCCAGGCACAGAAAGACAAATGCCGCATGTTTTCTCTCAAATGTGGAAGATAGATCCAAAAGATAAACATATACACAAAAACAAACATGATCATAAACAAACTCATATGTAGAACATGTTTGCAGCAGTGAACTACTTTATATATCTTGGGGAAGAAAGGAAAGGAAAATAGCATCACAACATTATAAAACAAAACATCTGTGTTGGGTAGAGGATATAAAGACATGTATTGAAAGCTATTGAAAAACTGGAGGGTGGGGAGTAAAAGGGTAAGCAGTGGAAGGGGATGAAGGAACCAATTTAAAGTACACTCACAGCGGGGAACATTTGAGAAACCCCTTGGAACATCAACTTAAATATTAATAATGAAAGACAGGACTGTAAAATAGGTACAGTGTGTGTGGGAAGAGAGTGAAGGAAGGAGATTACGGTGGGGTATATGGTGGATGGACTTCATACACTTATATGAAACAGAACAAAGAAACTTCTTGCAATTGCTTTAAGTGGGGCAGGGGAGGGATCAAGGGGGAGAGAGTGGGGGTGATCTAACCAATGTACAATATAATCCTACTTGGAATTGTCACAATGAATCCCCCCATACAAGGAATATATCATAATTTAAAAAAAAAAAAAAGAGTAAGTCACACTCAATGTGAAAAAAAAAAAGTCCCCATAGACCATTTCAGGGACTACAGAAAAGAGATGTAAGAGTGCTCAATTCAAAGTGACAATAGTAAAAAAGCAGGATTGTAGTGGTACAGAAAGGGTAGAAGAAAATGAAAGAAAACCTTTGTAATTCAGTAGAAAGGAGTAAAAAATACAAAATTAAAATTCAGAGTTGTACAAGATAAAAATATACCTAAAAAATTTTCACAAGAATTTATACTTTGCTACACCAACAGAAGAGGGCACCCAAGAACTAAGAAATCTTTCACCCAACCAAAAATCAACAAAAATTAACAAGAAAATTCACTAAGACAATAGAGAATTATTATCCCAAAATCAAAAGGCCAATTCAAAACAGCTCAACTGACGAAAATCCACCATCCTATCAGCTAAAAAGAAAACTAAGAAGCAAAAGAAAAAATGCAAAATAATACTTGGAAACTAAACTAAATATGCTCAAGCATATTTAATTAATAATTAAAATTGTATGAATGGGAATGGGATATAAAGAATGTTAGGGTAATAGCAGTGATAATTCTCTAAGTGAAACTTTTTATACAGTTCTGACTCCTAGCATGTTAATATTTAATCCACTCAAAACATGAAAAATAAAATCCGTCCAGAGCTGGGGAGAAACCAAAGTAAAATATAGAAAAATAACAACAGACATTATTCTAAATAAATGACAGCCACATAGAACAGAGTAAAGAATTAGCTAAAACAACTTTGTAAAACAATAGTTTAACTCATTTTTCTAAGGTTATGAACAAAATAACAATAGAAACACTGCATAATAATATTTTTTTTTCTTCAGAGGTATGCGTTAACAATTCCAAAACTAACTTAAGTGTATCCTAGGAAGGATCAAGTGAATAAATGTATGTGGTTAGAAGAATCACGCACATTCTCACTGTCACTGTCAAAGATAATGGGGAGGGCTGGAGGTGTGGCTCAAGTGACAGATCACCTGTCTAGCAAGTGTGAGGCCCTGTGTTCAAGCCCCAGTAAAGCAAAAAGCCCACTACTGCAAAAAGAGTAGGGGGAAAGAAAAAGAAAAGAGGCATTATGAAGGGAGGAGTTATGTGGTGCTGGCTTGGCATTGGAGCTACCCATAAGAATGCATTCTTAACACAAATATAAATAGCTCAATATAGAAATAGAAATAGATGTACATAGATTTCTTAGCTTTGCCCATTGAGAGGACCTAGGAGTAATGACATGCCTAGTAGCAATAAGTATACTTAGGTCTGGGTTTCTAAATACAATTCTTTCATAAAAGAAGAATTCCTTACAGAAATAGCTGGTTCCAGAGCTAGAGCAGAGAAAGTAAAAGATGAACTGGGGATATCTGGCTGAACCAAAAAAAGTATGTCAGAAGATACAGGAGACTACCAAAGGGGTTCCCAATAGCCAAATCTGAGTCCATGTGAGCAATACAAACAATAATAAAGTAAGTTTAGCAACAGATTACATCCCGTATAGAGAAATAAGTATCCAATAAGCCATAATGATATAAATAATTGAATAAATATATGCTGAAAAGATACTTTCCTTACAGTGAAATTCTAATTCATGTATTTAGAAAAAATGATGGATAAAGAAAATAATCAGTTGGCAAATACCACAGTGATTTCAAAGAATTGTTAATGAATTCTAGAGTTAATGGGGCAAAATGTGATGAG